GGTTGAACCAATCGCACGCGGAGCCCTCCAGCGTCGCGAGAAAGCATCGACACTTGACCTCGTCCGGGGCAGCCGCCGCTTCCATAGAAGCATAGAACTTAGACAAATGATCTTGGGGGTCCGTCGTTCCGTTGTAGGCCTTGATCTGCCACGGCCGGAAGTTTGCCGGCAGCGGGACCGACATAACCCTCGGAGTGAACGGGGTTACCGTCCGCAAGATGGGCTGGCTGTAGGGAGCCCTGGTCTCCACTCGGCGCTTAAGCTCGGCAACCTCACGTGCGAGCCGAGACACTCCTTGGTCAGAGACCTTTGTCTTCTCAGTTCTCGTCGGGTTATGGCGACGCTGGGTGCGCTCCTCCCGCCTCTCTCCGCTCCGCTCAGACCTCGCCGAGCGAGCATCCGATGTTGCGGACTCCTCAGCATGCCTCCGCCTGCCTTCGGCTATTTGTCGGCGGAGGTCGCCCGGGCGAACTTCCGGTCCGCGGTCGAGCCTGTCGAAGGCCGACACCCGGGTCTTTTCCCCTCCTAAGCGCCTGAAGGCTGACACTCGGCACTCGCTGGACTCATCGTCCTCCTCATCCGGTACATCCTCCACAATCACCTCCTCGATTGCCGGGGCCTTTCCGGGCCTCCTTCTACTCCTCCGGGTCTTCTTCCCCTTGTGTTGGGAAGTGGCAACGTGTTCGGCATGGCGATTGGGCGGAGCTTTGCCAACTCCGGCGCCGGGCACGTTCCCACCCATGGCGGGAAGTGCCGCAACGGCTGCCTGGAGCTGCTCCGCGGTCACCCCCAAGCCGAACAGCGCCTGGACCGCGTCCGGAGTCGAACCGATGCCGCCCGTACCATTGCCGCTGCCTGGCGCGTTCTCCTCGCCAACGACGTGGCTGGTGGTGGGGACGTTGCTCCTTGTTTGCACCATTCTCGCGTTCGAGAGTTAACCTACGAGTATGTTCCTCTGCTCTCAATGAAAGCACCAATTTGATGGCTATAAACCACCGAGAGTATGAAATAATATAAGTTTTAGAGAGAGAGAGAGTACAAAGTAGGAGTATATTGATTTCAAAATTCGGGTCCATTACAATGAGGGGTGCCACCCCTTTTATAGGCGGTACAATTCACTAAGTCAAAGCCCTCTGATCGAGGCTCGTCGTTTAGCAGACGTCACCTGTCCTTAGGTCTTGTCCCTTTCATCCTATCGCTTTCACCAAGTCTTTGTTGAACGTCGCTTTCCGCACGTCGTTGTCGCGGGGTTCGGGCTCGGCTGGGCTGGCCGAGCCGAGCCGAGCAGGAGGGACGAGCGGAGCGCAGAGCCGGGCAGCAGGACGAGTGGAGCTCTGGGCCGGGCAGGAACGTCCAAGCCCGATGTCAGCCCTAGTGCTGGCGTGGGGTTATTCCCCATCAACCTCCATCCAACAGTATTTGCCCACTTTTGATCTTTTGTAATCAAAATTGCTAAACTTTGACCATTAATTAAATAAAACCTAAATTGAATATTGATACAAAAATAGTTTTATTATTTTGTAAAACATTTTCGATTTTTTATATTATTAAAATAAATTGTAGATTTTATTTAATTAAAGTTGAAAGATTGATCTTGGTTGACTGCAAAAAAACAAAACTGAATAAATACTCTAAGATGGAGGGAATAATTAGTATTAAAAATTAAGCAGCTATACGCAGACATCTTTGCCTAATTTTCAAGTGAGACCTAAGATAACATCATCAAAAATCCTAATACAATTTGATAATAATTAGTCTTATTGGATAATAAATAATACTTCTCTATAAATAAGGGTTACAAGAGAAAAGTACAGTCCAAGTATGATAAGAATTATAGTAACAATACAATAAGAAAATAATATAATAAAGAAGGTAATAAATTATAATATTTTGTTTCCTAATACATCTATTATTTCTAATATTCTTGCAAGATGATCATCAATAACAAGAAGCATCTTGGAGCACATATACGTACTGGATTTGAGCTGCCGGAAGTAATTTTGTGAGAATAGCTTCTAGAAGAAGAGAGTCTGATCTTCATGACGAATGAGCTTGAAATTACCTTTGTTGAGTTTTTTTTCCAGTGAGAGTGTTGGCGATTAGAGTGAGAAGCTTCTTTTTTCTCCTCTTGGACCGTTCTCTGCTTCTCTATCACTTTTCATGTTCTCGATTTCTATAAAAATACAAACAAATGCAACTTTTCAGTTCTTCAACCACGCACATGATTTGTTTGGAAGAGAGAAGTAATAGATTTTTTGGAGAGAAAGATGGGATAATGATGGTGGTTGTTAGGCACGCTCGTCGAGATCGGTCGGTGACGTCGTATTGTCAGACAGTCAACCGTCGTGAACACAGACCAACAATATGCTCGGTCTGAAGAGAAGGGCTAGGTTTTTTAAAACCGTAGCTTCGATAGCATGATACAATTTGATAGTAATTGATATTGTTGAATAAAAAATTTTACATCTCTATGTATAAGAATTACAAAAGAGAATTATAGTATGTAATTAGGAAAAGAAATTATAGTAACAATACAACAAAGAAATAATATAATAAGGAATGTAATAAATAATAATATTCTATTTACGAATGCATCTATTATTCTTAATACTACCGAACGCTTCGTGACCGGTAGGCGAGGCGTGTTGGGAGTACTTCCCAATTTCACACCCGCTAAATAGGAGGAGAACAAAAAATATAATACTTCGTTCGTCTGATAAAAATGTTCCTATTTTGACTTTTAAGAAATTTAAGGGAGAGATAATTTTTTGTTGACTTTCCAACCATATCATTGATAGGATAGGTAAAAGTAGGATATCATTAGTGGATTATTAGTAAAAAAAGTATGATATGATAGGTAAGTTAAAAATTAGTAGTGGTAATAATAATTTTTTAATAGAAAATAGAAGAATAATTTGACCAAACATCATAAATGGTAATAGAACTCATATTTTGAAAGAGAGGCATCATACTAATTGATCATATTCTACATGTAACTATTACACGTATCAGAGACCAACTTACTATTGATTAGACCAAAATTATATTTATATATATATATATATATATATATATATATATATATATATATATATATATATATATATATATATA